CCCCAAAACCCCAAAACCCCAAAACCCCGTTAAGTGAATATCTTGAATATAATTAAGAAATAATAAGAAATATATGGATGAGAACGTTTTTAATGCATGTTTGTCTATATGTGTGTTTTTGAAATTAAGAAGATTAGTTAATGGTTAAGTCCATATAATATATAAATTTAATATTTGAAAATGCCTCCAAAACAGTCATTGGAGAATCAAGAACACCCTCACTGCATTTAGAGAAAACAAAAATCCATTAAGAAGCCAACATAGAAGTGGATGTCAATAGATCAATATGCAAAGCTAACGAAGAGAGCTATCCGCGTTTAGATGAGATCGATTCAAAAGGATTTCTCCGTTTAGAAAGATTAGAATAATAATAAATAATATTTGAGAGAATCTAATTAAAAGTTATTAACATCATTCTTCTAATTTAAAAATTAAACGTAAGGTTCAACTACCAATACTTTTAATGTTCTTATTTCAAGAAGTCTAATTTTGCTTATAGTTCATTGTCAGATTTTGATAAGTCAAAGGCGTCAACAGCTCATTCAGAGATTTCTTAAACTGACTGTTAATCTATTTAGAACAACTAATTGTTCTCACAGTAAACCATACTTAAACAGAAAAAGAAGATACTCAGAGTTGTAAAAAAACAAAAGAAAAAATTTAACTTATTGAAACTTAAGCCGTTGAGAAAGGGAGGAAGAACATAAGTTTTCATATTGCTCAAAGAAAAAAATCTAGGATTCAGTAAGGCTATCTAGAATAGATTTAAGGTAAGAAATTATTGAAAGATGATATTTGATCTTTAGAAATTGGAGCAAAAGACTCATTAAGGAGTAGACTAAGATGTTGATACAGATGAGGAAAATTTGATAGGATAAACAGATTAGTTAAAAGAGTAGGTTTAAAATGCAATTTTGAATTTTCAAAAAGAAGCCAATGCAATTGAATAGATTAACAATCTTATGGAAATCTATTCCTAGAAATGAATCAAGATTTCAATTATAGGAAACTTTTCCTAACAGCTTTTTATTTTCTCCTAGGATAGTCACAAGAAAGATTAAGCATGAATCACTTAGAACATACTTTTTCGACTCCATGAATTAATTCAATAAATATATATTAAAGTCTTTCAATAAACACACTCTCTGAAAGACAACTTGATATTTTGTGATTTTCTTTACTCTAAATCCTTTACTCACTATCTAACAACTATCTCTAAGGGGTTTTGGGGTTTTGGGG